ACTCCAAAGACATGCAGCTTAGGTTGATTGGTGTCTCTAAATTGCCCATAGGAGTGCGTGTGTGGTTGTTCATCTATGTGTTAGCCCTACGATGGATTGGCGACCTGTCCAGGGTGTACCCTGCCTTCGCCCGATTGCCGGCCGGGCTCCGGCCCCCCCATGACCCCGTTCAGGGACTAAGCAGTAGAAGATGAATGAATTTAGTTAATGACCACTGGTATGACCCGACTGGTTGTCATTATAATAAGAAAAAGCATCGATCAGCAGAAGCTGCTGCCTGATCGATTTCCACAGGGAGGTTTGCTAACAAGACTATAGGTGTCACTGACACTGCTGTGCAGTGGCAACCACAAATGCCTGAATACTAAAAATGAAAACCCATTACCTACCTAACGAACACACATCTGAATAGTTGGATATTCAGGCCCAGTCCTACTGTCTCTTAAGTGACGGTGTTTCATATTAAATCAGTGTTGTGGCAGCTATTTTCCTGACCTTTTTAATTCTTTCCTGACTAATGCAGTTTGATGACAGAGTGTTGAAAACTTCCTCCTGCCTAATGATCCAATAGTTGCATAACATTTCCTATTTTGTAATGAGAAAGATTCTTTACTATGATGCTCACCCACTCAGACAGTGACTGGGTGTTATCACTTAAAGGCACTGGGCTTTTTGTATTCTTTCTGAGTCTGGGTGGTGATTTAGGTGGTCACTTTACTTTGTATTTCCAGGAACTGCTTATGTGTCCCTTGACTGTGAGTGGTGTATTGATTGATTTAATATTTTTCTGTCATTAACAGTTAATAATTACAGAAATCCATGATGCTCACTTCACTCTTGTATGAGGTTACAGCAGCCAACCTGGCAACTCTGTCATCAGTTTCCTAATGTGGTGATTTGTCTGTTGCAAACTATCATCAGTAGAACCATGCAACATGATAAATAAATATCTTTACTCTCTTCTTGTTTTTCAGGAGAATTATGAGCGAATGCAAGCTCTTGTTGATCAACTGAAAACCCGGACGGAGAAGATTAAATTAGGTAAGTGTGAGCATATGATGAATTAGCTACTACGCTAAAGTTAAATTCATTAGTTTGTGTTTTAATATGACAGTGCTAATTAGTGTCTGTGTTCAGTTTGTTGACAGAATACCTTGACTTACCCATAACTGTTTTAGTAAAACTGCTCAGAGTTCTCATGTTTAAATATGTTAGCCAGGTCACATAGTTTCATGGGTGACAGTTTAAGGGCCTGCTCACACACGTGACTTTGTGTGGATTACAGTGTATAACTGTATTCAGTTGCCTGGCAGTTGTGACACATAATTACAAAATGTCAGTTTGTCTTAGTTTTAATGCCTTGGGTATAGGTTTGAGTAGGGTTAGGTTTGTGCTTTTCATTTGAAAATCAACACCAGACTGTCCAGAGGGTTGCCAAATTGATTGGTAGTATGATGTTTATTTGAATTAATTCAGGTGGGGGAGAAAAAGCCAGAAGACTTCATACCTCTCGTGGGAAACTCTTGCCTAGAGAGCGTATAGACAGACTGCTGGACCCTGGGTAGTATCATCTACTTCCATCTTTGGTTTTGACAGATTAAAATTCATGCCTGACTCGTACCCAGCAGGCCAGATGTCTAATATTTGTGGTGCTTGATGTCATTACCCAAAGCATGATGCAGGTCATTCTAATATCTGCTGCTGTACACCCTTCCCTCTAAAGTGACAACAGTGAAAGCATTGCCGTCGTTTGAGTCTTTAATTCGCCCTTGCAACAGACATCAGACTTTTGTGCTTAAAACTCTGAACAAAGAGTAAAAGTGATATTTAAATTTTGAACCTATACATTTTTGTTCTCCATTATACATATAATTTGCATTACATGATTGTTTTCCTATAGGACACCTTTCTTGGAATTCTCTCAGTTTGCAGCATATGAATTGTATGGAACAGAGGAAGTCCCAGCAGGAGGTATAATTACAGGGATAGGCCGAGTTTCTGGGTAAGCGCCGTGAATACAACTTCATGTTTACCTGTTAATCTGTAGGGGTGTAATTATACACCGATCAACCATCACATTCAGACCACTGACAGGTGAAGTGAATAACACTGATTTTTTCGTTACAGTGGCTCCTGTCAGTGTGTGGGGTGTATTAGGCAGCAAGTGGACATTCAGTCCTCGAAGTTGATGTGTTGGAAGCAGGAAAAATGGGCAACTGTAAGGGTCTGAGTGACTTTGACAAGGGCCAAATTGTGATGGCTGTCTGAGTCAGAGCGCCTCCCAGACTGCAGGTCTGTTTGGGTGTTCCCGGTCTGCAGTGGTTAGTACCTACCAAAAGTGTCTAAGGAAGGACAAACAGTGAACCTGCAACAGGATGGACACCCAAGGCTCACTAATGATGAGGTTGATTTACAGTAGATCAAACTTTTAAATGTCATTCATCCTTTTCAAAAGATTCCATTTTGAATCTTTGTTAAAATGGGTGAAAATGAGAAACAGTGTACATTTCTTTCAGTTTCAATTCAAAAATTATCCCTAACTTGTCCTCATGACCACAGTTTTCACTCCTTTTTCATTGATTGATGAAATTCATGCTCTTCCTGACAGTATAACTATGGAAACAAACCAAAGATGCACAGTGAGCTGCAGAGTGACATGAGTGCCAACCAAATGGCGGATTGACTCCTGTGTACACAGTATTAGGCAGGTGGTCATAATGTTATGGCTGATCGGTGTATGCACATCATGTATGGGTGTGCAGCTGTTTAAAAAGCAGCATCAAGTGACTCCATGTCACAAGATTTATTCAAATAGACAGCTTTTTGATCCTAGTCAGGTTCTTGTCTTGGCCTGATGAAGATCTGAGTTGAACTAAAGTGCTGTCTTTTACTTTTACCATTAATCCTGTTAATCTCTCGAAAGTGTGAGAGCTTAAATACTTAGCACAGGTATTTCTACTAAAACAGACTACAAAGTAAAGCAGGATTTTAAGCTGCAATCTCGGCCTCTTCCAATGCAGAAAATATCCTAAACTGGCTGCAAAACATTTAGATGGAAGCGGTTGAGATAATTACAGGGTTGCTAATTTACTCTTTCTGACTTGTAATTCAATTTTCATTTAATTTCTATTGAACTTTTACTTGGGTACTTTAGCTGCAACTGACAAATCCCTATTTCTTTTTAATTTTTCATAGGGTGGAATGTCTTATTGTTGCAAATGATGCCACTGTCAAAGGGGGAACATACTACCCCATTACAGTGAAGAAGCACCTTCGTGCACAAGAGATAGCCCAGCAGAACCACTTGCCATGCATTTACTTAGGTGAGTACTTGTATATTTGTATGGCTTTACTAAAACAAGAAACACTTACTATAAAAAGGGAAAAATAAAGCTATAATAGACTTTCACTGTCACCACCAGGGTTAAGTGTATAAGATAAAGGGACATATTGTATAATCACTGGCTCTGTTAAATGAGTATACTAGATGTTTTATTTTCACTGATTTGTTAACTTAGGCAGCCAAACGTTTGCACTTGTTTTAAATTCGAAGGCAGTGGCGTCTTGTCAGTGTGTTGCCTTAGGACATCGCAGAAGGCCCTGGCTGAAGGTTGCAGGCTGCAGTTTTTAAGAGGGAAGATTAAGTGTCTGTAATATACTGTAGCCAGGGACCAGATGTTGATAATGATCAGTGAGTTCTCTAAATGTCCTGACATTTGTTTGTCCTTCAGTGGATTCTGGAGGAGCCAATCTACCCAGACAAGCTGATGTCTTTCCAGACAGAGATCACTTTGGACGCATTTTCTACAACCAGGCCAGGCTGTCTTCAGAGGGAATAGCACAGGTGAGGCGTATGTTTGGATGAAAGTAATTTACTTGTCTTGGTCACTGTCATTTAGCATTGCTCCTTGAAAGTATACTTGTTATATTTTAAATAGTCAGTGCCTTGATTTATAGACCAGTTGTATAAAAAAAAAGAAGAGAGCACAGATGGTAAATTTAACGGAACTGCACTGCTGTAGGTTATTCATCTTTTTATTGTTTTCAGGCAACTAAAATTCATCTTTGTATTGACTTTTGAAGAAGAGACATTTCGGTGTTTAAAAACAAAACAAAACCAAGGCTGTCTGGGTGAGAGCTGATAAATGTGATAAGTGCTCCAGAGCGGTCGGGTCTCGCACAGGTTTTGCACTCACATCTTTCTAGTAGTAGCGATAAACTCGCTCAGTTTAGTCATACATCTTCACCAAGCAGAAAGCTCATTAATTCTTGTTTCAAGACTTTTTCTTCTCTGGCATCTGTTCTTTTTCTTAAGTTTTTTTTTCTTCCTTGCTGTATTTGGTATTATCACCACACCACTAGATTGCTGTATTGCAAATTAAAATGCAACTTGCCAGTGCCCATAGCACTGACAATTCAAGTCTTCACTGAAAAGGGCCTTGAAAACCAGGGCCAATCTGAATTCTTCCTGGTTCAGCTGTTCATTTGATATTGGAGCTTGCCAATGTGGTGTGTCCATTCTTAATGTTGAACATGCTTTTGTAACTAGATGTATTCCTTTTCTTCACTCTTTTAGATTGCTGTTGTGATGGGCTCTTGCACTGCTGGAGGAGCATATGTACCGGCCATGGCAGATGAAAGCATCATTGTGCAGAAACAAGGAACCATTTTTCTCGGAGGACCTCCACTGGTTGGCTGATTTTTTTTTTTTCCCATTAGAGTCATCATTATCATAAATTTAGGCAATAAATTGAGACCACAATAAATAGCACTTCCCATTGGCACGTCATTTTTGGTTTTGTAACTTCAGATACTAGTTAATATTGCAGTGTTATTGTGTTTGTTGTGTCCATTTTTCTGAGAAACCCTGTGTCTGGGTTTTGGCAGGTCAAAGCTGCCACGGGGGAAGAGGTTTCTGCAGAGGACCTTGGTGGTGCTGATCTTCACTGCAAGTATGAGCACAGCTTTTTTTTCACAACATTATGCATGGGATTGTGATGCCGAGTTTCTGTTTTAAAAAAAAAGCGTTGTTTCTCAAATGAAAAACTAATTAAGCTGTCTATAGAAAGAATGTGACTCCGGTCTCAATGCTAAAATCCCTAAAATTGAGTTAGATCTAGGATTTGTTGCTTATTTTACAGAAAATCTGGTGTGACAGACCACTACGCTTTAGATGATAACCATGCACTCCATTTGGCAAGAAAGGCAGTGAGAAGCCTCAATTACAAGAAAAATATTGAGGCAAGTCCAATATGATTCACCATTAACACTTACATATTGTTCATCATGTCATTACTTTGTGTTGACACTGAGTCTTTTATATTTTTCAGGTCACAGTAGAACCCACTGAAGCCCCTCTCTACCCTACAGATGAACTCTATGGCATAGTTGGAGATAACCTCAAACGCAACTTTGATGTCAAAGAGGTATTTCTTCTCTCTTTCTTTCTGTTTCCTGCCTTAAATGAGAGAGAAAAATGTTGTGGGTTGTACTTGAAGAAAAAAAATGTCTCTATTCACAAGTGATTTGAACATAGTGACACTAAATCTCTTCAACTAAATGATGTGAGAGTGATAGGTTAATGCATAAGCAAGTCAATAAAGGTCAATTTAAAATCATTCCTCCACACAGATGCTTCTTACACATTACTTTGCCTTGATACCCTTTGTTCAATATGTGGTAAGCAGAGCATGACACACAAGATTTATAGACCATAGACACTCTCTACACCACTGTTTATACTTGGGCTTTATGGATAATACAAGCAAACCTGACTTTTACATGTTCACAGTGCACTTTAAATGTGTTCGCCTGTCAGGTCCTTCTATCAGGAGCGCAGTCAGTAATGAGTGACTGGCATTGATCACTTTGTTTAGGTCTCTCTAACAGGGTGCCACATGTTCTCATTTGATTTAAAGCCTGTGCCTTTGGCTCATGATGTAGGTCTGGGATCAAGAGTTACAGCTAGCTCTAGAGATGTCAGACTCTGTAATGTAGAACTGTATTGGAAGTCCATTTGTGCCCGGTTCAGACTACACGAATTAATCCTGATAAGAGCCCGACACAACAGATGTAAGGGGCCAAAACCGAAAAACGCAGTCAGACACAATAATAAATCGTTTTATCTCATATAGTGTGTCATAGTAAAAGAAGATGCTGCATCTGGGACGCCTCACAACATCCTGACACGTTTGAAATTTTTTCAACGTCTACGATGAGGTGGGCTGACACTGACCAACTGGTGTACAGATGGTTCTTCTGTTCACAACATTTTTGGCATATTGGACTGAACAACATTCATTAAATATCAGAGTGATACAGCTAACATTAGCATAGTGACTTTCACAGTCAGCCTTGTGATGTAGCTACCCTATCAGGGCTAGGTAGCCAGTTTTACTATCGGCTTAAAACATTTATTTTTAACAGTCATGTAATTTGACATAGTGACCATCGTATCAGACAAGCAAATTGTGTAGCCTGGACCAGGCGTTGGGATGCAAGATCACCAGACTGCTTCCTCTCCACTCGGGGTTTTCAACTGGAACATCCATTGTAGTGAAATTTGTTGTAAACTTCTTACATAAGTTGCTTTTGTTTCCTCACCAGTTTGGTTGTTGGGGATTGTATCACTGACTTTTATAACTTTGTCATGTTTATTTGATTGCAGGTCATCTCCAGAATTGTAGATGGCAGTAAGTTTGATGAATTCAAAGCTTTCTATGGAGACACACTTGTTACAGGTATGTGAAATAACATGTTTTTTTATTTCTACAGCACAGAGAATTTTTTTTTTGAATTCTGGAATCTACCAATCTCACTGTTTGTCTTCTATAACATGACCTTCAGGATTTTCCAGAATATTTGGTTACCCTGTTGGAATCATTGGCAACAATGGAGTCTTGTTTTCAGAGTCTGCAAAAAAGGTAAATATAGTACGGAAACAAAACTGAAATGGTAAAAAGAGTTCTCTAATCAATAAATCTGCGTTCCTAAGGGCTGTTGACAGTATTTTCACAGCGTCATTAGAAATGATAAAATCTGCCTCTCACAGTTCACAAAAGGTTAAGACTGTACATGGTCTTACTCTTTGTTTTTTCGGAACGCACAGTTCTGAGCACAGAAAAATGTTTTTTGCATGAACACAGTTCATATTTTAAAGATACTTTATTGTCATGCAAATTTTTTAATAATTTAGTTTAAGCAAACAAAAATCTACTCTGTTGCAGTAAACGTATTAGCTTCTCTGCTAATTTCAATATAAACGCTCATTAACAGCCTCTGTGGCTCAGTTTAACTCATTTGTCCTCTCACATATTGCTGTTTTTTGCATTTGCTGAGCTGTGCACACTTGTTTACCATCACTATCTCGACATCTCAGCTCTGTGCACACCCAGCTCGGCCTTACACTCGAGAGAATGGATCACGCTGCATATTTTTGTCCGAATCTGACTTGGACCTGATACAGTTGAATTTGTACAGCATTTTCCCCCTTATCATTAAAAGAAGCAGACATTTGAGTGCTCCAGCTGTCCAGCCTAAAGTTTGACCTATGTGTCCGAACCCGGCCAGCACCCTCGGGTCAAGGACTTTTAACACATCACACAATGCTGCTTTAGTGTTTGTAGATGGTTTAACCCTTCACACTCAAGGTCCAGAGTTTCTCTCATACAAAAATGTCTCGAAATCTGCTTGTCAGGAGCGTTCTGATGAATGGCATTGTAATAACATAGCATTTAGAAACCATGGACAAGGGACAATCATAATTTTCATTTAATTTGCAAGCCATTCTGCCATGAACAGAGCTGAACTTTACACAGGCGTAGGAAAAATGAGGAGCTGAATTTGTGATTACAGACTAATGCGCTTTTCAGACACATTCTGAATTAGATTACAAGCTTGTGCTGGCAAAAAAAGGTTTCTTTGATTCATTTTCTTTTATGTGTGGTCTCAATATGACATTATGAGTGCTGGTTATCTGCTCAGTGTAATTACTGTTGATAGGGACTGAGACAGCGCTTCAAACAGACCCCGATGTGGAACAGACATGCTCAGAGTGCATACACAAGAAATATCAATACAGCACCTGCATTTCAAGATGTATTTTTGAGACATGCTGTCATCTCCAAAAAACATGCCCAGGCTTCTATTATGCTAAGTGTTAAATTGTTAAAAGCTTTTACCTAGGCATCCGTGTTTGTGAAAGGGAAAGGTAACAGAGAAAACATCATATTTACGTTGGGAACAAACTGATGGGTTATTTTTCACCAAGTGACAGGTTTTAATAGGAAGCCGTTTTTCACATTGCCTCCAACTTCTTTTTACACTTGGCAATGCAAGGCAGGCTGCTTCACTGAAAGGAAGCCAGTAGAGGTAACTGCCAGAATAAAGAAAATCACCTGAGTAATTCACAGATACAAAGTAAATGGAAATGAGACGCCTCCTCACAGTGCACAGTCTTTTGTGTTTGTTTGTCTGTGCAATAGCTTCTGGCAGACCTGTGCTGTGCTGTGAATGTTTTTGGCACGACTGAAGGCCGTTTGGTTTTTTCATGTTCAAAGTAAAATCTAGAAAATACAAAGCCAGTGGGGTGCCATATGACCCCCCTGCCAAGTTGTTGAGTTTCTATCCCGACCGTTCACCTCAGATGAAGATAATGATCAAGGTGAGGCTAACTGAGCACAGGAAACGCTTGCCTGTGAACATGAAAAAGTCCGTTTTTAAGCCTAATTTGTTTTGGTTACCAGATGTCACAAATTCTGAACACTTGGGGGATTTAAGAGCACCAGTATAGGTAATGTTTTGCAAGTTTCCAGCTATTTGTGAAACCACAATGTGCAGTCGCCCAGACACCCCTAGTATCCCAAGCAGTTCACTGTCTAATACGCTTGTGTGCTTTGAATACATTCTCTATTACAGTACATATTTACACTTCTCTTTCAGTTGGCAGTTCATTTAAAGTTTGTTTGTTTATTTTAGATACCAAGAAAAATAAACAACAGTGATAGTACAAATCTGCATCTTTTCCCTCAAGGCACTTCTTCTTCAGTGTTGGGGTTATACTAGATTCATTCAATATCACATTTCTTTCCAGGGAACACATTTCATCGAATTGTGTTGCCAAAGAAACATTCCACTTATTTTTCTCCAAAACATTACAGGTCAGTGAAAGTTCATAATATCTGAGTTCAGGATTATTACAATGTGAGATGTTGTGCTGCTTTAATACTTCCATCAATCGATCATCATGGCTATTAATGATGTATTTTAATTCACCAGACTTTCTCCCTTGAGTTGACAACACACACACACACACACACACACACTTGCAAAGTCAACCCAGTTTCTCTTTGCAATCTCTCCTCTGCATCTCAGGCTTCATGGTGGGTAGAGAGTATGAAGCAGGAGGGATTGCCAAAGATGGAGCCAAGATGGTAACTGCAGTTGCCTGTGCCAATGTACCTAAGATCACTGTTATCATTGGAGGCTCCTACGGGGCAGGAAACTATGGCATGTGTGGCAGAGCATACAGGTACAAAGTTAATGAGTGGTTTGTGCTCAGTAAAAAGAGAAGGCACCGGTAACATCACAAATGAAGAGAGTGGCGATCTGGCCATGGCCTGTTAACCACATATGAAGATTGATAGCAATGTTTGTATGGAAATGAAGTGTACATGTGCAATAATAGACACCATATGCCCTTCATCCAGGTGGAAATGACCTTTTGTTAACACCAAAAAAAGAAGCTTTCTGATTTGAATTTTTAACTCCTCACTGCTTCATTGAGCATTGGTTTTGATGTTGTAGTGAACATGGGCTCCTTATGAAAGAGTAGTCCATTGTTCTCCTACAGTATAACATTGTCAGAATTACGGCAGACAGTTTAAAAAAAAAAACATGGATCAGAATCGATGCAGCTGAACCAGCGATATAATCAATTTCAAACTTGTGGTCTTCAGCTCCAGCTGATTCTTAAAGCAGCTTTATCAGATTTCCCTCAGCTCCCTCTGGATCCACAAAGGCTTTTATTTTTTAACCAATGCAGTGTTACGCCACAGGACCTATAAAGAGATGTTGATGTGTAAAATCCGTGGAGTTCCCATTAGTATTTTTTCTGCTTTGAGTGCACACTCATACTTTATATTATAACATAATATGTGAATAGTTTATATTCAGGCTGCGGTCAGATTGAAGGATTAAGTTAAATTAAACTCTCAGCTCTAGTATTTTGGAAAGCGTGTGTTTGACTCACCTTTGGTTGGACTTCTTGAATTATATTTTACTACCTAAGTAGTTTTTTCACACCTAAATTCTCATTAAATGCTTTGCTGTAGCTGTCATCATCTCTTATTAGATCTTACTTCGTTTTGCCTTATTTCTGGTTTGTCTGTCACTTAGGTGGCTCTTCTGCAAACACAAGCAGACTGACACTTCCTTTTTTTTCCTCCTGTCACAGTCCTCGATTCTTGTACATGTGGCCAAATTCCCGTATCTCTGTAATGGGCGGTGAGCAGGCAGCCACGGTCCTGGCCACCATCACTAAAGATCAGAGGGCACGTGAGGGAAAAGAGGTAACAATTCACATTAATCAACCCATCTGCGCTTCACTGGAAAGGCTCAAATTAGCTTTGGAGGATTTGCTGCCAAAAGCATAAACATTATGAAAGACACTTTTCTTTCAGTAATGGTTTGACATGGCACTTATGTGCAGATAAAATTATACGAGTGTTAAGTGTTACAATGATGACTTATCCTCAGTAGTGCAGTCATCAAATGGCTGTAATTAAACTGTGTCAGATATCCTGTTACTGGTGTATTAAGAGAGCATTAATAGCTTCAGAATGACACCTCACATCAATGCACTGATTGCAGGTGTTTCAGTCAGTGATGTTTAAAATGGTTCAACAAAATAAAGCAATAAAATGACTGAACAGATAGCAAAAACTAATTATGGATATTATAAAATTTTTATTAGGGAATTTCTTTACATTTGGCACCAACATCCACTTGGACTCAAGGAAGAACTGATTAGGTTTTGGTGGTCAAAGGTCTCTGTCACCTTATGTCTGTCTCATTCCCATGAATCTGATTTATTGGGCAGAGGCTTCCAACCACGAAGCCGTAATGCTAGATGTAAGTGTATTCTTCTTGTCTTCACAGTGTAACCCTGATGAACACAGCTTTTTGTGTATGTAGTCAGCAGAAACATGCAAAACAAAATGAAGTCATGAAAGTAGAAAAGTCCCATCAATCACTTCTTATGCTAATACCTGAACTCACAGTCACAGTAAAGCAGCAGTTAAACCATCTTTGGCTTTGTCTTGTGACATATTAACATGTTAAATGGAGGAGAGATATGAAGGGATTTAGATCAAGTCCTTCACATTTGTGAATATAACAGCATGATATGGAGCTGCAGAGATCTGTCGGCCTCTGCCTACACCCTCCTCACCCGTGTTGTCAGATCAGGGGATGGTTGGGTGAGGGGGACCTTTAAACAAGCTCTTTTAAAATGTAATGTTCTTGCCCAAACACACACCCCTGACCCATGATGTCACCCTGCACAGGGCTAGCTTGTCCTAAATCGCATGTGATTGGATAAATTAACACCTACGCTCCACAGTCCAAGATGAGTCATCAAGAATGTTGTGACATTGCATTAGAAAGAAAAATTAGAAGTTTTTTTTGTTTAACAATACTCAAATTATTCCTTTTTTAACCTATATTAAAACAGTTGACACAGGATTAGAGCTTACACACAGGGTGTATACTAAATTGCTCTTTTATTCGGGCCTCCTTGAAAAACCTAATGCAGTCTGCTAAAACAGCCCTGCAGTAAGTCATAACTATGTGAAGGTTATAATCAAACCGTTTATTGGAGAGGTTGATTCAGCTTTATGGTCTGTAGTTTGTGCTGCTGTTGAATCCTGTTGTTTTACATTGAGAGGTGGTTTTGATATTTTGTTCCCCTCGTGAATATCAATAAAAGTAGACTAAAAGCAATGAAAATATTTTGCACTACTACCTCAACAGTTTCATTACACAGTACTTATTTTCACAAGAACCGACTCGTTATTTTTAAGCTAAGGAAAGCAGCTTTCACGACAACTGAAACTGCCTTGTATACTTTAGACAACCCATAAAATCACATTGGAAGGAAGTCCGTATTACTTGTGTACTTTTTCCCCATGCCTTTATCAAACCTACCACTTCTGAAGTATCACTGATTTATTCACAGTTCACCGCAGAGCAAGAGGCTGCTATGAAGGAACCGATAGTTCGGCGGTTTGAAGAGGAAGGCAGCCCATACTACTCCAGCGCTAGGTAGGTCATGACATATCTTCTTTCATAGCGTAGTTTAAGTGGTGTGTGATAAGATGAGGCACTGAAAAGTGTGGAGCCGTCAGTATGTCTTAGCAATTTCTGTTCAGTTTCTTTTTAGCTTCTGTTGTCTGTGGAGTGTTGGGCAGAGGAGGATTACAACACCAGCATTTGTTTCAAATTTATTTTTAAATCTTTTTGATGCATCATGTGATCCTGCTTTTCCAAAAGCCGAGAAACACACAGATATGGAAGAAGACTCGTCATGCATGAACAGTGATGCTGTGATGTGTTTCATGTGCATTTCTTCTCTATTGGATGCCCTGGTGTTTTGTTAATATGAGCCATCTTTCATTTTCATTACGTCTTGAAGGCTGTTTTCATGCTGTATGTGAGCAGAGCACATAGCAGATGATGGGGGATTACAAACAATAATATGGTGGAGAATTGTCTGTATATGTTGAAGTGCTAGGAGACAAGTCAAATTATTAGGCATAATATATTTATCTTGGCCAGTGTGGGGCATATGATGTTTTAAAGCATAACATGGGCTCACAATAAACGAAATAAAATGAAGAAAATAAACAAGATTCACAAAGCTTGAAATAATTTGAAATGGACACAATGCTAAAATGTACAAGATGTCTAACCAGAAGATTGTTGCCTGCAGCAGCCAGGAGCCTGTGGGTGACCCTGTAACATTTAGCCTAATGTGGGGATAGTGCCAGCAGGAAATGGAGATACTGGTGTGTTGTGCAAAGGGGAAGGATCAAAATAATTGTTGACTTTATTGGCCAGTGTGAGCAGTGTGTCGATCAATAATGCATGAACCCATATATTAAAAAATGTTCTTACTGGCAGTTAGAGCTGTGACAATTAGCTGATTGAAAAAACACTGGCAGCTACTTTGATAATCGATTCGTTGTTGTAGTTATTTTTCAAGGAAAGATGCCAAACATTTGCACTTTCTAGCTTCTTCTTTTCTTTGTCTGTTGTGAGAAACAGACAAAGGTTTTGGACTTTGGGCTTTTCTTTGTACTGGTTTGGTCAAGACCAGCATTTTAAAGACATCACACTGGGCTCTTGGTACATTTATAAACTAAACAGTTAATGCAGCAAATTCAGAAAATAATAGGCAGGTTAATATTTAAAGTAATCAGTAGTTTTGTATATACACAAATTGTCAGATTAAGGAAAAACTATATCAGAGGAGTTTGTGTCTTTTCAGAGGCTGCTGTATGAACTGTCTAGAATAGGATGCCAAAAATGTGCTAAATAAATAAATGTTTTCAGTATTTTCATATAATTAATATCAATGATAAATCTATTGTGTACAAGGGTCAGAATAGAAAACACCGATCGTTGAAGTTGACGAGATGGAGTTATTCACAGCATCTTGACCTTCACAGTAACTGATAACAGACCTGCACAAGTACCCCAAGAAATATGAGCTGGGTGAGTTGTACTGCGCCATCCAATAATGTGACCCCCTTTTATTTTTTTTCTCTTATAGGCTGTGGGATGACGGGATTATTGATCCTGCTGATACTCGTCTGGTTTTGGGACTGAGCCTCAGTGCGGCATTTAATGCACCAATGAAGAAGACACACTTTGGAGTGTTCAGGATGTAATTCTCATTTAGCTTGTACAGATGCAGACTTTAGACCCACCAGAGATGTACTTTTTTTGTGTGTGTGATGTTTCTCCAGATAAAAAGTAACAAAGGGGAAAAACACTGCACAAAAAGAACAATCACAGGAGTAGGATCGCACAGTCTGTTATAGTGGAGGACGTGACTTGATGATGAACTGTTGTTTCGACTGTTAAGTTGTGCCTTAACTGTTACAACCCCGTTGTAAATGCAGCTGTACTTATGGAATTGTTTTCTTTTGGTGGATTAGATTTTTTTTTTTATCAAATAGTGGAAACGGTAAATTTAAAAAAATGTGAAAAATTAAATGTGTAGTTTTTTTTTTTTATTCAGAACCTTTGATGGCTACTGAGTGATAACAGTATCTGATAGAGCGATACCGAAGGAAACATGTTCAGAAGGGGGCGCTATTTAGCCACAAATACTCAATTTGATATACTATTGTCTAGAGGAATGGAAGAAGCACATTTTGAAGCAAAATGCTTTTTAGATAATGCACAGTGATGTTCTGGTGTTGACAGAAGTTATATTGAGCCAAATCATAGCAAAATATAATGTTTTGAAAGTGTCCAAGCAGAGCGCAGTCACCTTCTGGTGTCCAGAGACAACATTCGGCTTATTATGCCATCTGATCCAGACTTCTGCTTTCTTTTCACCTTTACTACTGTGCTATAGTAATCAGCAATAGGATGTGTACAGAAGCTGAGCCACAGAGGGAGCATCCTTTACTAGCAGACCACCTTGCCTCCCGTCCACTTCTCTCTTCCATTTTGTCAGTTTCTCTCTTTAACTGAACATGTTGCACACACTTGGCATGTTCACAAATTTGTGTAAACCATCTGAGCTCACTCTAGCAACAAGTTTGTTTTCCTCTGTGGGACTTTTCTGAGGCAAAGGATACGGTGCAGTGGTGGACGTTTGAATGTCTTCCCATGAGACAACGGGTTCAAATGCTAAACTGGAAGCCTTTCATGCTCCTCTGTGTATGACTGCGTGGCTGGCACCCAAGGCTGTGGAGAGCCTCACCTTAGGGAGAGCAGAAATAACTCGGGCCATTATGTGTGTGTGTGTGTGCGCCACCCACACACACACCCTCCACCACCTCCTACTACCAGTTTTTAAAGCTGGTTCACTGGTTGTGTTTTCATCTTCTTCCACCAAATGTCAGTGGGAAGCATTACCAAACAGCATGAACCAGTTTTAAAAGTTTAGATTTTATTGAAGTAAAACTTCCCAGAGATACTGAAACATCATGATTCATAAGAGTCTTCATGGATGTTTTTCAAGGTAAACAAAGAGCATGGAAATGTGGAATATTGATCAACTGGGGCCACTGAAATTGATTACGGATAATCATACTTCTCTTTTGCCAAAACTGATCTATCCTTTCTCACCGTCCACGACTGCTCTTAAAGGATATGTTCCAGGTCTGCTTCTACAGATGGGCGAGGTTGTGCTTTTGTCTGGCCAGGATTTCAGGCCTGATGTTGGATAGTTTAGCTTGGATGTTGTACAACACTTGGATGACAGCCTTTCCCTGCTTGCACTGGACTAAAAAGTAATCAGGACAAGTTGTGACATATAGACATAGTATTCTCATTAACAGCTCTGTGCAGCAAGTGCATCCAATCTTGATTGTCTTTGGGCCACTGGGGGAAGAACGAGTTCACAGACTGCCCAAAAGCATAAATTCCAAATTCAGAAGGGTCAAGTATCAAACCTGACATTAACTTTTAGAGGTGCACAAGAGAATGTACTGTTATTTTTCTATATTTTTATTTTTGAGACTGCATTTATGTGAGGGGAATAATGATGCCAACTTTGCAGATAAGACAAACAATATCAGAACTCAATCTTGAATAGAATTATTCTGTTTTTGAGTTGATATTTGCCCCGCTTTGTTCTGTAACTGACTGACATTCCTGTGGAGGAGGGCAAGTGGAAAAACATTTTCTCCTTTATAGATGAATAAATTATCTAAACGTTCCTGTCACTCTGCAAATAGCAAAGCAAAACTTTCTGTGGCTTTTGCGTGGCTCATTGTGACTTTACTGTAAATATATTCATTGAAATACATGTTAATTTATTCTGTAGCCAGTAGTTTCAGCCTAAATGAAACAAACTCCAGACTTAACTGTGAATCAATTTACCCAAAACACAACAGTGTTTGTGCAGGATACATTTAAGGTCAACAAGACACGATGTGAAATTCAGCCTATTAGACATTTGTTCTTAGTTCGGCCCTATAACAGTTGGGTTTAATGATTCATTAATGTCAAATAAATTACACCTAACCTAATTCAGGAGCTCATTCATTCTCTGACAGATCTGCTTCAACAGTTATGACTCATGTTGAAGTCACCCCACTGCCTAACATAATCACGACTGAGAATGTGAGTCAGTCTTAATGTCCACTTCCCAGAGGGAAATGGATTATTGCCTGATGCAGAAATTGATGAAAAACTCATTTTTAAAATTCAATTATATGTTCCTCATTTAACCAAAAAGTCATTCACAGACAAAGCACATGCAGCATGTTACACAGGAAAACAAACAAAAACTATAAGAGAAATCCAAATAGATCTGGATAACAGTGTAAAAAGTAATGTCAGCACCAATCACAGATAAAGAGCATTTCACCATGTTTTACAGAATGAATGTCATTTTGTGTACCAGGCTTCTTAAAGTCCTAAATCAGTCCAAAAATCATCGTTAAGCAATTCACATAAAATTAGAAAAAGTACCAAAATAGGCTATTAAGGTGATAAAGAGCATGTTTTGGGCTGTGAAAGAGGGCACAGGGGAGTTGCATAATGAAGCCCCTAAGGAAAACTTGATGATTTCATTTTATTAGCAGACGGAGATCTTTGTTTAAACACAGTTGCAAATGAAACACACTGCATTGCAGAAGAAGCTGCAAATTCAGCAGGTTGATCGTCCTGTCTGATTGTAGACCGGATCAGAGGCACAGGCCAGATGCTGTGTACCACCTCAACTTTTTGCCCCTGGTCCCGGGAGAAAAAGGCTACAGCCTCCGGGGAAAGCTGCATCCTCTGAACTCTCTACTTGGCCCTGTGTATGTGATGTGTGGTGGCCCGGACTCCGAAGTGGCGAATCTTGCGGTGCAATCAACGTCTTGCACCGGGCCCGAACTGACAGGGCCGGAGGTCCAATGAAATAAGTCGACATATTGAGATTGTCAAATCAAAGGCAAAGAGGAGGCGCCGTGCCGGCGTCGTCTGAATTACGTCATGCACAAACAGCTGGTCGTTGGCAAAAATCTGAAAAAATGTAGACCAGCACAGCCACTGAGAACTGCACCCGGGCTGTAGCCCTCCACAAAATATTTGGCTTTTAACGATGTGGCAACTGGAGCGTCTGGGCTCAGCATGTAGCCCTCCGAGGCTCCTTTTGCTTGTTTACATCCATCTCTGCGCTCTTGGAGGTGAGTGGTTTCCTTTCAGGGCTGCTTTGATTCCAGAGGAGCTGTTCCTTTTTTCGGGGTGCTGAAATCCTCCACAGAAAGCGGCGGGAGCAGCGGCATCGCATCCCGTTGCTTTCAATTCATTCTCCTAAACATCTACAGCTGCTGCTTTTACGCTCGACCACCAACACTACGGTTTTCATGATCACAGTCCGGTTTCAGTTATGAGACGCACGGGGAAGACTGCTGCTAATAATGGCATGCATCAAACTACCAGATGCTCCTATAGGTTGTAGGCTACGATCTTGAGCTGTGAATGTGGCCACAGGACAGCAACATCAGGCTGGACGCTTATGTTGTTGTTGCCTTTGGTTTTTTATTTGTTTTGTCTTTGTTTTTGCTTTGTTTAAGAAGGCAAAGACAAGTTCAGACACGCTGGCATAGTGCAGAGCATGACCAGATTGATCGGACAATAAGGGAATGTTTAAGTCAAACCTTGTTATTTCTTTTATTTCATTTAGCCTCACTGAATACTGAACCAGCAGTGGACAGATTTAAGTGGCAATATTGAAATTATATCTTTTATATCCCGTTAATGTGGCATTCTTTTGTCATAAAACGTGACCAAAAAGTATAAGTCTGCTATTCTTTCTCTCTTAATTTATTTCTCTTTCATAACAGTCTTATGTAGACAGAGGTGAAGAGTGGTTCTGTTGGCTGCTTCAAGACAGAGGCAAGAAACAAACGCTTCAGTGCTGGATTGTGGGGCAACAATGAATCCATATCTACAGCACACACTGCACTGGCTGTGGTCACTGAAGTCCTTAAAGCTCTGTCTGAGAATGTTGCAGTCCCCTGACAGACGTGTTGCTGTTTTGCTCCATCAGTTTTGGTGAATCCGGTTGAGGACAGAAACACTTTACACTTGTTTTTACTGTATATAGTAAGGAGGATATACGTATAACGTTTGAGAATTGAGTATTATTCTAAAGAAAACTTAGTATTGAATGTGGATGTTTTTTGAATGATCAGTGTCTTGGTCATTCTGGTGTCGCTGTCTGTAACACTGGAAGTGGAAGGTACAGTAATGTAGTGATCTATATAGCTGTGATATTTGAAGCTTTTGTTCTGTTAGTGGGTGTGAGCAAGTTGAAGTGCAGGGCAGTGTGTTTGACCAGGAACAATGCTGTTAAATTCAGTTTATTTTAACAATTGTTGTTCCAGATGGTTCCTCTTTAACAGCTGCCCCCCCAGATTTTAACATCCTACAAGATCATGAGAAAATTCAAGAGTGTTACCACACTGTTACAAAAAGTTTAAAGATGATCCAACTAAGTCGAGATGACAAAAAGCAGGATTATGTCTATATTAAGCCTCTCACATAGTAAAACAGTGGCTGGGAGGCGCTCATGGAAGAGATTCAAGATAAATTCAGAACCATGCTTAACCATGCTGCAAGAAAACCTGCAAGCACTCTGCTGCCTTTTTTGAGTCCTAAAATGAAAAGTCTTGATTTAGTTGGCAAAGGAACAAGCATAGATATTTTGGTATGTTTACACCTTGACAGTAAGTGTAATTGCAATGTGTGGCTGCTGGATTGTCACTCAGACGTGTTCTTTTTGCATATGTTCCCTGTGCAGAATCTGATTTGCACATAGAGGGGACTTGAAATTAGATATGCAAGTTTATTATTCTGATATTCTTATTATAAGACGGGCAACCTGTCCAAGGTGTACCCTGCCTCTCGCCCAATGTCAGCTGGGATTGGTTCCACACACACACATACATGCACAACCCTATTCAGGATAAGCGGTGGAGATAATGGATAGATGGGTGGATGTTCTTATTGTAGCTTGCATATGTTTAATTTGTCACAACAATCTCAGATGCTGATATGTTTAATATGTTTGAAATGCAGATAATCTTGTAGGTTCAGTATGACTATATCCACCAATATGTACCTTACACAGTACAATGCAAAACACTAAGAATGATAGATGTGTGAAATCTGGCAAAAACAAGATTGTGAAAAGTATTTTTTGCCTGCTTGTATATAGACAGGTGTGAAGGAGAATAAATGATGACTAAAAAAACAGAAATAAGGCACTGTACACTGCCTTTAAATAGCTGTATTTATGTACAGTGCCAGTTGTTGGACACTTCAATATGACAGAGTGAAGCTATTTAAACCACTGGTTTCCATCTTTTTTCTGTTTGCTTGTCACCACCTAATAAAGAAGCAGCATCTAGTTGCAAACCCCACAGGGGTTCAGGTCTTTGAGTATTGAGTAGTTGAATAATTTGAATAGTATTTCAATAATTTCTGTGCACGGAAGAGGTAAAAAACAAAACAGCAGAAATTGATTTTCTCAGTTCTTACCCCTAGTGATCATCTCACAGCTCCTTTCCAGTATTTTGACAGGGTTTGAACCACTTTTCCAGTCCCTAAGAGTGTATGGAGCCTGTTTTTGGTGTAATATATGGTGACTCTGACTATGGTAAGCCAAAATGTCCAGCAACACTTACAGTGTATAGAGCAACTGTAACGTTAAAACCAATGAGTTTCGGCTTGTAGCCTTCATCAAGATAGATGAAAACTATGGACCCGAAACATGGTGATCTTATCATTAAAGCACTCTATACACCACAGGTGCTGCTGGATTTTTTTTCCTTTTCAGTTTGTTTTTCCTTTGTCTATGAACCTTCACAGTCAGTGAAGTTATGCCAGAAATCGCTGCTTTGACTCTGACTATGGTGACAGATCTGAGGTTACATTGCCTGAATAATGTGGCAAAGAGTAATTGGATCTTCATTTAAATGGTGTAATCACCACCCATAACCTTCTGATCTCATATCCAAATGTGTGAAATTAGTGTCTTTGTCCTCTCAAGCATCTGCCCGACCAACAAGTAATCAACTAGTTACAGTATGTCATTAACTTTTAGTGATCTTAGCTGTGATCCGCAGCTGGAGGAAACCCTCTTTGTTTCTTTCTAATTAGAGAAGCGGAACATATGGTGGGCTTCCAGCAGTGATGGTGCCATACTCCATCTACTGAGTCATGGCTCTTCCGTCTGTGGTGTCTCACCAGTTTGTCCTCAGTCATAGGCGTCATATGTTTCTAATGCAAGGACAAAGAAGAACCTTAATGTAGAGAAGGTTCTCATATACTGTAATGCAGATAGCAGAGCAGAAGAAGGCTGGGATAAGAATACAGTGAAGGTCGGGAGGTCTGTGTGGGATCAGGCTTTAGCTCTTGATGGCACGATTGCTTCATTCTACTGAGTTTCTGCCTTTTTATTCTGTGGCTTTTTTATTCAAGGTTGCCTCTATAGGTGAGAGCCAGCGTTAGTGGTGAGGACTGGTAAAGTGCGGAGAAAAGGACTAGAGCATAGCCATTCTTTTTTTATTAAACACACATTAGAACACACTGCACATTTAAGTACAGTAAATCCTTTACTTAATGGATCCACACTGCAGTGCCTTGTCACTGTAGAGTTCCACTTGGTGTTCTTTACTCTGTGTCATCGTCAAGGCAAAAAGCGGGAAGAGTAGCAAAACATGCAGCTGCATATGACAGCATTAGTACACTGAGCCTGCTTACTGTCTCACTGCAATGCTTAAATGAATTGGGCTCATGATGCTTTAGAGTTGCAGGCTTTTTCATCACATCCTCACCACAGTGTTGAAAATATTTGTACTATTTCTATGCAAATTACAGGTGAGCTAAATTACCCTCTGAGAAAAAAAAATAGCAAAAGACGTCACCACAGGTATTCCTGGTGCAGATGGTAGAAATGGTTGACATGCACAAACACAAAGGAAGAGTGTTACAAATGTAAAACCTTCTCCTCTAATGAAACATCAAGGTGCCTCCACATTGTTCCCATGAAATACTGCTGCCTCCTTTCTCATGTGCTTGCACTGATGTTCATGATAACGCTTATCTAAGAGATGCAATATGTTCTAGTACAGCAATTAACTTGACTCACACAGTTTCTCCTAGATTTTGCCTACCTGCTGAGTGTGCTCGATGCCAGGCCAACTCATGTGCATAATATGACAGGTTACACCTGTCACTTGTTCTGCTGCTTTTATATGCAGAGTGTTCAGTGGTTGTAATCCAAAGATTTAACATTATGTAGTGAGCCTGCATACATAGAATATCTCACTCAGCTTCTTTAGAGGAGTTAAAGTTTATGATCACATATTTAGATAATCTAGCTGTCTACAATATGGATTTATGCCTGTGTTCTGTTCATAAAAATGACAGTGCTGACAAACTGAAGATCAAGAGTGTCGGAGCCTGAATGAGAGTATCATCAGTAAAGCTGGATTAACCATCTAACATCCTCAGAAGTTTGGACTGTTTAAATGCATTTCACCTACAACTCAGTTTATACGTGAGGCCTCCAGAGAACTGAAGCTGTGTGGATAATATTGGTCAAGGTCAAGTGTTTATTGTCATGCACAGTGAGGAAAATTCTTACTTTGCTTGTCCACGCGAATGCCACACAATATAAGTGAAATATAAATTAGATACATAGGTAACACACAAAATCCAAATCACAAAATCTAAGGCACTTTAAAACAGCCAATGAAAGAAGCATAATGAAAAATACAACAAGAACACAATACAATGAAGAGAGAATGTATGCTATGCAAATAGTCAGCAATATTGTGAGTGTTGTTTGTGAATTTGTGCTGTTGTTGAGTCTCTGTGATATCCTCAGAAATATCCAGGGACACTCTGCTTCTGTTCCCTCCAGATTGCCTTTTTGTGACTGAATACTTCACCCGTACGCCTCGTAAGCTGAACGCTTTCAACTCATTCGCCAGTGTGGAACTGTTCCACTTCAGTGTGCCTGACGACACCATGATGGCTGTATGGAACCTCATCACCTTCAAGGAGCAAGGGGGCATGTTTGGAGACAGCTGCCCAAACCGCAATGTGACTGTGTAAGACACAGCGTCTTTGTCTTTTTCTCTCTTTTTGTTTGTGTTTAGCTTAAAGCCTTTTCACTTTGAAACTGAGGTCTGCTTTTTCTGTAGTGCATAATAAATAATACACCTCAGGAAAAGCATATATCCTTTATTTTTGAGAAAGAGTTATAGCAGCTGGCTAAATCTGAGCAGTGTCAGCTCCACATATGGAGAAACTGCTGTTGAAGCATTAGCTGCCTTTATCGTTTAATTTTGCCTGTTTATTTTTCTCATATTGGCAAGCAGTGTTTGTCATGGCTGCTTTCTCAGGTGACTCTTCTGTGCCACCGTGACGCTGTGATTGACGTGGCTATCACTCTCAAATATCTAGGGCTATCTGTGATTATTGATGTTTTGGTTTTACTTTTTCATATTTTAAACAGAAGATGCCATCTGTGCTCATGCTGTCAGCTGTTCCTTTGGATGAATTTCATCTTTTGCAGATGCCTTTGTTGTGTATGAAAACATTTGGCCTAACTGGGATTGAATGTTGGCTTTGTGATTAATAGGTACTTCAGGTCTGGAGCACCGCCAGTAATCAACCCCTTGTACACCCACTTCCCCCGGGATACAGTTGTCCCAGGATCCTTTGCTGTGACTCTGACTTGGACTCTTCCAAACCGCACAACCGGAGCATTCAACGTGACCAGCCCGCTCCCTGGAGACTGGTTCCTAGCTGCACATTTACCCAAGGATGAAGGCAAGATCTCGGTAAAGGTGAGCCTCATTTATCACACACACACACATCTTGGTTTCGTGTTATCCGAGTCTGTGAGTTATAATTCTGGCAGCGTAGTTGGTGCTAAGGGTGTTGTTTTTGCACTGCACCCTTTTTCACAGCAGATATTTTGACCTGTCATAGCAGGAAACACACAGGTGAAACAAATTTTGTTAACAGCTTGCTTGCATCAAGTTTCCCAGTGAGCTACACCAGTGAGCCAGCTTAGAGAACACTAGAACACTGTAACTCACCTACAGTACCATCAGTGCAATGCGATCACTTTAATGCTATCAATTAAACCTGTGCATTTTTCTGCTTGACATATCATACCTGCTGTGAAAAAGCTTTCTTCCTGGAGGTCCACTTATAAACCAATGTCAATAAAGCTGTTTTTCCTTTTGATTGTGCAGCCATAACCACTTTTACTGCTTAAATTAAACACCAGATTGATCCTCAGTGAGAGAGGTTATGCTTAGACACAGAGGTGCTTTGCAAAATTCTAACATCAAAATGCTAATATATTCATTCATGTCAATGATGATATGCAAAATGTTTTAGCAGGTATAACATTTACCATTTATGTTTAGCATGTTAGTAATGTAACTAGCCAGTTTACACTAGACTCAAAGCACATCTGAGATGGGAATGTCATTACTTTTGCATTTAGTCATAAAACAAAGTACAATTAAAAATCAACTTCAATGTGATGGTGGCGCTAGAGTAGTCAGTGAATCAACACTGATTCAGATATTATACTGTGCGACAGTTTTAAATTTTTGTTCCAAATGTTGTGCTGACTGACCAAGAGACCAGCATTACCATCCATAGAACACCACTGCAAGGAGGACAATCCTCATGCAGCATCTGCTTGTTGACGCTGTACATGAAAAACCTGGATCACTGTTGTGCATCACTCAGTAAGAAAGGAACTTTATTTATATGCAAGTGTTATGTAACATAATTCCAGTGAGATCTACATCTAAAATGATTCCTTCATGGGTACTTAACTCCCCTTCATGATAGAAAAAAAAAAACAAAAGACATATAAGCATTTGTTGGGATTAGTTCATCAGTTTATAATGCAGAACTCAAAGAGGCAGAACAGTGTTGGAGAGTTTTTATTTTTATCTCATCATGTCATCCTATTTGGCCATATTAACACCTGCTGATTTCTGTTTCAGGCAGTTTATTTGTCATTGGCATTGTGTTTAGTTATGCTGCCTTTGTGGTTTCCATTGGCTGGCAAAAGTGCACCTGGAATACACAGCAGTCACAAATACCATCATAAGTTGCCATCAACATTGCATGTACACAAGAACTGGTTTGCTTTGAAAATGTGACCAGATTCCAATGACACACTGTGTACAGGGAAATACATACATACATTTTCAAATTCTGCTTTCTGAAGCAACTTTCTAGCAACCAAGAAATTCTTAGTTCAATATTGCAAGCAAAACAGAATTGGGCACTGCAGTTTGGACACACTTTCTCATTCAATTCAATGCAAAAGTGTAGCTGATAACAATCTCAGTCAAATACTGGACGTACAACACAGTATGAGCCAAAAGCAGAGAAGCAGTGATAAACTATATTTGCTGTTAAGCTCTTTTTCTCCATTTCTTCTTAGATTTCTTGAACTGTCCCTTATTAAATTTAGGATATGGTACATGTTTTGTGTTTACACAGTAAGAATACTGATGTCCTGATTCTTTGTATGTGAGTAATCTACAGTATTTCATTCAGGCATACCTTTCTGTTGTTTGACGTGTACACATCCTTGAAGTACCAATTTTTTAAAAATCAAAGTATGTCTTTAAAAAAAAACAAAAAGCAATAATGGATCATGTCCAGACACTTTTTCCATCACATGCTTAACAAGACCATGTGCATCATACTGTGATCTGAAGTCATCACACGCCATCCAAAGCTCAGTGTAAATAAGGAAATTAATGGGAAGGGATGGGAGCATTAAAGGATATTAAACATTTATTCATCCATTCAACCATCTTTGTGCTTCTAGATGTTTGCTGGTATGACTTGATCAAAGCGTCGGGCAACCGATTTATCTTATGCCTGGGTGACAGTGATGCTTACTGTAGTTTTAGGGTGTAAAAAGCAAGGGTCATGGGAATTCAGTGAAAAAGACAAAATCTTAACATAACCTGTCACAGTACTGGAGGGGTAGCGCATATAATTTACAAGTGTTAAAAATGTTCTTCATTACATTCACTTTTCTTTCACATATTCATTATTTAAAAAGATTTTGCTGTTTTATGGGGTCATTAAAATCTGGGTTTGACATAGTGGTTTGCCAGTATATATCAGCCTTTTATTAAATGCTGGATACTGGCCAGTAGACAGCATTGTCTACTGTCAGTACAATGGAGCTTGACCAGCTGATATAGATTTGAAAACAGTCTGTAAATGTTGCAGTCATATATCATTTCTTCACACATTATTCACCATTCAGTGGTTCATACATTTGGTTTTTTGTTTATGTATTAGCATAATTTGTTATGAAAAAAACACACTATGTAGACCTTTACAGTCTAATGACATTTAATATATTCCAGGAATAAATCCTTCTTTTGTGAGACTTTAAACTACATTGAGAGGTGTTTGGTTCTGTCTCATTAATGTGTGTAAGTGGGTGTATTAAAAAACATGATACTCTCACAATTTAATGCAGTTCAATAGAAGCCCAGCTCTAACTAAAGATGAGAAAAATTACCATTGAATTCAGCTACGCATAGCATACAGTAAGCTCTCAGCGCCTGCATTTATTGCAGTACTGTTACCATTGATTGCATTCGATCGTTCTGGTGTACCTAATAATCTGGTATACCTCAATGTTGTAATAGTTGTATAGTCTCTGAGGGTGATTCTTACTGAAGGAGCTAAAATAATACAATTAGTCAGGGCTTCAATTGGGCGCTTTATGGCCTAAATGCTGTTTTAGAGACTTTAATATCCTGCCAAGTCTGAAATTCTGGGGAAAATAAATTACTGCTTATATCTTTTTTGGTGTGAAAAGGGTCAAATTTAAATGCATTTAACACCACCACCAGCTGCTGCAGTTATAGTGTAGAAACATTGGCCTGCAAAAACGCATATTTGTGGAACCTTAATTAAAACACAACTGGCTCTATAAGACACATGTCCAGGTTCAGCTGACAGGCTGTAATAAATCAAAGGGTCACCTCGGCAGCTCCCAGACTAATGACTTGCCACGGTAATTGTGGCCCAAGCAGGACTGGATGGGGAGCAGTTGACAGGAGTGAAAGACCTAATTTGGCATTCAACCCTGTCTTTTTGCATCAGGTGCAAAAGGCCTCCCACCCTTTTTAAAACAAATTTTACAACACATCATGTGTGGAATCAACACATGGCCTTCTGGCTCGAAGCCATTCTGTTTGCTTAGCTCATCTCACAGAGTGATGCACATCAAGAATTAATGGTTCACAACAACACAAGTGAAATAGTGAGTGCAAGTTATGCTGTGTGGCAGGTGGAGGGGGGGACAAAGTGATATTAATCCTGGAGGCTGACAGGCTTTATGCGCACAGTCCATTAGGAATTTTCTGCCAGTTTGAATGATATCTAATCTTCTCCTTACCGGCTTTTAAGAAATATTGGTGAGTGAAACACTACAATACCATTCACAGCACTGCTGTGTTATCTTTGTAGGGTCTGTCTGAAGAATGCCAGTATCTGTTCCAACCCCAGCTCATTGTCCAGAGGTTAATTGGGATTTCAGTGCTCTATCCTGGATACTTCATCGACCAGACGATCCCCGTCCATAACAGATCAGCCCTTTATAAGTAAGTCTTATAACTAAGCTTCCAAAAACCAAAAATCAGGGCAGGGTAGCTTTGAAGTTCTGCACTTTTTAACATTTTTGTAAGATAAACATAATAAACATTAGCTTGAGTACATTTTATATACAATACTGTTTGACTTTATGCCGTATAGTGTATAAGTATTTCAATACATTGGTATTATTCCTGCCTAAAACGTGCCTGTGTGTGTTTATCTGTGTGTGTGCTTGTGCAGAGTGTTCATCCCCAATTATATATCAAAGGTGAAGGTTCAGCTGGTAAACTGCAGCACCAAGAACAAGAGTAGCGACAGTTGTCCTGTGGTCCTGAAGATAAGAGCACGGGCGCCGCCGGTACATAACTCAAGTGCCCTCGACTGCAGGGAGTGGAACCCTTGTGAATTAGACACCCTCGTACCTGCCTGGGAACAGTGGTACTACATCCTGGTGGAGAGATATCTAAGTAATACAGATGTCTACTTTCGCATTGGGGTGCAGGTTACAGGTGCGTGTGTTAATCCACTTTTAACCTTCCTAAAATAACATTCTCTTGTGACAGTCCAAGTAGAGGGCCTCTTTTAAGCATCCTTCATTTCAATCAGCTTAAAGAGATCAATTAAAAAGTTGTATAATTTAAAGTGAGTTTACAATATGTAACTTTGGTTTAACAGCAGCCTTTCTAGTCAAAAATGGCAAGAACAAGATAAGGATAAATGTTAAAACATAGAGTAACAGTAGTACTGTCCAAGCAAAGCTGAGTCAGATTCAGAAAGCTGACTCAGTAATGTCAGTTACACAGTGCACAGTATCTAACTAAAGTTTGTTAACATCAGCAACATTGGCCACTCTTTGCTATGGGCCATACCAGACCAAGCAGGGCTATAAAGGCAAAGGTGACATTGAATGAAAACCACTGAAATAATGAGAAGAAGACACATTATCTCTTTGAGTTTTTGGAAAACTAGAGGCATAGTTACTATACAAGCACTAAACTGTACAGCTTGACCTTTTACTTTACCCACAGTTCCTGGCAGTCCAATATATAGAGAGCACCAGAGTTTGATATAATCCAGCCACTTAACCAATCACTAGTAAAGACTATCTGTATACAGTGGCAGTGGTATACGCTGCAGATCACACTAAATGAACAGCCATGGTTTTCAAGTTGTGAGGTGCAGGCTTTTGTGTCAATAAGAGTATTTTACCAATTTTGCTAATTAAGCAAAATTACTTGATTATTTATTAGAGGTAATGTGCTGGATGTTCTCTGGATGTTTATCACCAAAATCCTTTAGCTGTTTACTTCCAGTAATGTGGTTACTGTATCCACGAGAGCTCTTAAACTAGGCCAAACAAAAGCTCAAAGTAGACTTTTGCAACATATCATATCTATTATCCTAAACTGTACAGTCAAAGTAGAAGAATTATGGCTTTCAATTTGCACAGGCACTATTAAAAAATGGACTTATTCTACGGTGTCATTTTGTCCTCATGACAGAACAAAAATCTCCAGCTGGCTTTTTAAACGTGTCCACGATGCTTGTGCTCCTCATAGATATGTGGGGCAGAAATTGAATTACAGACGTATTTTGATGGGAAAGGGAGGCCAGACACAGCCGGACCATTAAGAGGCTTATTGAAGAATAGACCTGAGCCCAAACTGAGGCAATTCATATGGGATTGCTAAGAGGCCAGTGATACCACGCTTAAGTGCTACATGCTGATTTTAGGTTGTGGAGAGCCAAAGCATTCTTTATACTCACACCACAGGCACGGCTCACAAATCAGTGGGAGTCCACTCCCATGTAGCGATCCCTTCCCTCTGTTCGACACTGTACAGTGCACTTTGTCACCATGGCAACGCAGACACTAATTATTCACACTCTGTCTCTTCCCCTTCCTGGCAGGCAGATCTTACTTGACCTTTTGCGGATTTAAATTGAAGAACACCTCAGGTTCTGGGAAAAGACCATCTGGAGTCCTCACCTTCTCCTGCTTTCTTGTTGTTATTGGTTGTCATGAGGTGTCTAGAAATGTGTGCCCTTTTATGAATTCAGTCCATAGCTGCTGGCTACGCAGAAAGTGGCACAACCAGGCTGTTCTTTATACTTTATTATTGTTGTTGTTGTTGTTTAAACAGTATTTTCACCGTCTTGCCCTCAGTCGGTGATGGGTACTGATGAGAGTTTATGTATTATACTGCATAGGAAAAAAAGCCAATTATTTTGGCTATGAATGTTATGTACTGTATGTTCACACAACCCACCCTCTCCCAGCAACCCACACATATACTGCACATACATAGATATGTGCTATACTTGAATCCTTACTGATTTTACACAGATTTGATCTGTTTCTACTAAAGGCTGAAAACCATTATAAAGCCTCATCCGGTTCTTTCAAACCAGGAACTCAGAGGGACGACTCAGACCACTTGAGTATATAAAAAATATATCCGTGCTGGTTTATTCAAAAAGTCACAGGCAAGAATTTACACTTCAAGTCCAGAGATCTTCCAACCCCCAGCCTGCCAAAAGCAGCCCGGAAACAGGAAGACCCCGAACCAAGCATTGCTATACAATATTAATCCTTTCTGGGCTCTCCAACCGTGACGTCACCTGATATGCCAGCTTGGCAGCTGAGCAGAGCAGTAGACCAAACATGAAGAAAATAATGTGTGTGGCTGTTGTTTTCGTGGTGTGTATCTAAAACAATTTGACATAACATTACACATTAAGACAAATATTATGGTTACTTTTACCGTCATAATAACATTCGTCCCTGACTGCCGCCTTTCTCTGATTTTAACTAACCTTGCATTTAACAGCCTGAGGAAGACATCCTGGCTGCACTAACAGTCCTAGACAACAAATCTCTGAATATCTATCTAACTAAAAAATAACCTAACACTACCAAAGTTACATTTACCTTAAACCTGCTGTATCTGGTATTCCAGTATTTTAGTAGTACTTCAGCTGCGTAAAGCGACATCAAAATACTCAAAACCCTTTCCAAAAGAACACTGTGCAAACGAGGCTGAGCTAGAAAAGCCTTTGAAATCCTTTTCCCTTGGGAATTCGTGGTATTTAATGGTACTTTGCCAGTTGCCATCAATGACCATTTTGCAATGAGCTGCTTTGTGCTGAGTAAAAACACACTGTTTGCAATTACCAGGAATCTTTGTTTCATTAAAAGCAGTGTACAGCGCTGAACCTTGCTGTTTACTTTTGGGAAGTCAGCTGAAGGGGATCATTTCAAACATTTGCAAAAGACTTGGTTGCTTAGCATGCATAATAACACAAGTAAAATAACTGACTTGCTTATTTTTTGTTTGTTTGAGATTTGCTGGTGATTGGTTGTTTGACTTTATCATAGGGATTACTACATTACACAATGTTATTGCAAGGTGCCTTCTTATAACCCTCTGTAACAGGCCATTGAAAATTCACTAGAAACTTCAGCTTATACAGACATCAGTTTGATCGATTTCGTTTATGAATTTGGTGCCTTTCTCCTGTGAACAGATTGCTCCAAGCCCAATTTGTCGAAGGACCAAGCACAGCCCAGCTCCTCCATGAACATGCCTCAGTCTTTTGGAACAGCAATGGATTTCTCCCTGTCTGAGACGCTGTCAATGGCAGCTCTGCCCAGCCTGTCACAGAACGCCAGTCACTTGCACACTTTAGAGGACAGCATCATTTACCTCGCCCCCACCTCTGACACTAACAAGTGCTGGCCCATCCGTCCGACCCTGCGCAATGAACTGGATACCTTTTCTGTGCACTTCTATGTCTTCTTTGGCCCAAATATATCAGTTCCTCCAGACAGGGCTGCTGTGTTTGCTATTAACCTCATGCCAGTTTTAGACAGTGGAGGAGTCCTCAACATGGAGCTCAAGCTCAACATGGTGAGTTCCTAAGATAACACTGCTGATGTTTGTTTTTAAGGCACTATACAAATGTATACACAAATAATTCAAAGCACAAAACTGGAAACCTGCTGTGGCCCAGATTATACAGGATTTCTGATATAGTTAATAGTTTACGTAGGTTTTTTTTACTCTATGTAGGAAAACAAGAATACAAGTGACACAGTCATAATATGCATGTGTTTAAGGCTTTCATTAGGTACAGTATGTGTATGTAAATTTAACTTAAGTTAATATTTCAAAAGATTAAGGAATGAGCATGAAAGTTTTGATTGAATGTTTGAAATTTTTAGAGGCATTGCTATAAAGTTAAATTACTATTCAGCCAAAGGATTCTTGAAGGAGACATTTGGTTCAGCGCGGTAGATGTGAGTCTGTTGCCACCCTCACCTGACATTGTTATCAGAAAAGTAAACATGCAACAGTTAGTGAAGGGAAAATCCCAGGCTAGCAAGGGTGAATAATTGGGCTCACAAAGTGTCTGGCTGAGCAGCATGCTAAATACAGATCCTCGAATGGGTGCAGACTTTGTTGTGGGAGCTGACAAAGTTCACAATGAAACAGACGCCAGTGCTGGGCTTGTGGCATATGTTTCTAATTGAGAGCAAACAAAATGCAAAAATCAGCCAAGCAGAATTGGATATGTCTTTGTTGAGCTGTCCTTCACATAGTAATGGCATTAAGACTGCGCCTGCAGTCGCTCCGGGAGTCTGAAAATGTAGAGGTACTGTACAGGCTGTCAGATGGACTTGTACACATTTGACTCCTAATAGTAAGCCAGCCAGTGTTGAAGTGAGTAAAGGATGAAGCTTGAAACTCTATGAGATACTATATCTTTAGTTTTTTAGTTCAGAGGAATATCCTGACATTTTAGGATGTGTGTTTTTTGCTCACTGTCTTCCAGGGAGTTACACAGATATCAGTTTTATCTTTCTGAATTCAGAAAACATATTGTTCAAGGGCATCTTTAGCCTACAGTACCTGTAGCTTGACACAAGAGACAGAAACAGCCAGCCTTTAAAAGCATGGAAATACCCTTCCAACAGTATTAAAATTGACAAAACAATTTCACCACAGGGTGCTTCCAGCAGTTGCTTTAGAGCTTTCTGTCAGTACAGTAGATGGAGTTGCCCAGTTGTCATGGAATCACAGATATTAACATTTCAATTATTCATAGCACTGCTAAGTACTTCTTGTCCATTTTTGCATAAAAGTTTATCTTAAAATGTCATTCTTCACCATGGAAAAAGTTGTGTGATGCAATCAAAAGCTCCAAAACAGCTACTGAATGGACCTTGAGGAGAGATCATTTTACCATTTCTCACTTTTAAGATGAATCATTTATATGTTGTGTCTTCTTTGCCAGCAAAAGCACAATCAATAAATTCAAGAATCACCTGGTTTTTGTTCAGAAGTGTACCAGGTGCTGTGCAAAAGAGTAAGATCTCATGGCTGCATGCAGTACTTCCACCGCAATGAGCCCATGGACTCAGCTACTGGCCACAAAAAGCTTCACTTCATAATCTAATTGCCCTAAACACATATTGTATCAATGTACTACATGTAAATAGAAGGATTAGTCATTTAATTGACTGACAATTTTTTAAACCTTTTATTAACTTTTTAACAAAAATGCACAAAACGCACTAGTCACACCTTCTCAAATGTGAATATTTGCTTGTTCCCCCTCCCACTTTCTATGATAATAAACTTCTTTAGGGTTTGAATTTGAGCAACAAAACAAGACATTTGAGTATAATCTCAAGCATTAGGAACCTGTGAAGGACATTTTTGCTATTTTCTCACAATTCCTAGGCAATCAGCATAATCATGTCAGATTAACTGATTAAAAAAACAGGTGGTTGCAGCCCCACTTGCATTAATGTTGTTGAAATGCAGCTTCTATTTTGGTTCTCCCTGCGCCCAGACTTTGTGATAAGCTAGACTAATCACATCTGTCATCCTTAGTAAACATGCAGAGAGGAAATTAGTGATTGATCTTCTCATGTAACCCCCGGTAAGAACGCAAACAACCACAATGCCCAAAATTTGTCAGAGAAAAATACAAATAGTTGGTTTATAAGGAAATGGCAATAATTGACTGAATAATTATTTTATGGTTTATTGATTGACTGATATGCCACACATATTGATGTGGCGATATGGTGGGTTAGTGGCTGTCACCTTACAGAACAATTGTCCTGGATGTAAATGACAACCCTGGTCTTTTCTTTGTGGAGTTTTCATGTTGGCCTTGTACTTATGTGTGCTTCTTCCTACAGTCCAGTCAGGAGAACATCTGTTTGCATGTCTCTGTGCTGGCCTTGCAACTTAGCGTGGGTGTTTTCCTCCCTCATGCATGCTGAGACAAACCCACCTTCCCTTACATGCTGTCATAAGTGTCTCAAACTGCTGATTTTAACTCAGTACATTCCGCAGATGTCATAGGGACAGTATGCTGTGATGAAACCTGGTTGCTATGACTATTGTATGAGCTGTGAGATGGATTCTTCAGAGAGACTGCCATGCTGTATTATTCTATGGACAGATTTCTCCCCCTTTGGTGATGGTCTGTCACTTGCTTGTCACAGACAGAATCCAGTCAGCTACTGCTAGTGGGGGACTGTGGCAGATTTGCAGGGCTTTAGGAGACAATAGCTGGAGCTGCTTGTCTGCCTTGCATCACTCTCTATAAAAGAGTGTGAAAGGAATGCATATGGCTTTTATTTCTACTGATACCTCCGCTGGCAGTGGATCAATTTAATCACTTTAGATCAATTTCAAAGTTTTCCTTAGGTACAGTAGAACTTTTGTAAAGAAAAAAAAACTGTAAGACCTGCAATAGACATTAGACTTGAGATAATATGGATGTATTTGCGTTATTAACTTTTAATATGCTACAGTTGTTTTCTCACAGTAAGACACAATCCTCAGAGTATTGGGTCCAAAAATGACAAAAATAAAATAAATAAGTATGACACATTAAAAATAAAATATTACATACACATTTTGCCAAAAACAAAAAAGTTTGCACATTTTCATATACACATAGTTGGGAGGTTTTTAGGTGCCTACACTCGTAAAGTTAATGCAGTTTATTACAACAGTCCTGCAATAAATCCTCCTGCATAAAGGTGATAATGTTCAGTTTTTGTTCAAACTGTTTTAGAGTGATGTTGATTCAATTATATGGTCACTTTAGAGGCTGTAAATTGCTGTTGAATTGTGCAGTACAGTTACACGGGGGACTTTCTGTTATTTATCGTAGTTCCACTGAAATAAATTGGGAGCACAAAATAAGAGAAACACCTATATTGATATTTGGATGTATTATGGTTGGTTGTTTAATTACATCTCAAATCTAAAATGGTTCATATGCCAGCTTCATATGCATTCTGAAATCAGCTGGAATTGTGCCCTGTCTGGTACAAGTCAACAAAACAAAAGCAATATGAGTACACAGCAGCCATGAAATGGCATACACCTCAAGATTTTTATTTCATCTGCAGCATTTTTGAGGCCAGTGTTCATTGCTGTAATAATGCTTTTGAAGAGATGTTTATTCAGAAGTTTTCCCCAGTAGTTTGCTTCAGTCAATAACCTTGAGCATTGCATTGCTGGAAGATAGTGCTCCTGATTGAGTTATGTCTCTGCCACTCACATTCCACAATCATAACTACCAGCTGCATAATGGATCAGGCATATATATCACAATATTAAATGTGATTAATGTAGCAATGTTCACAGCAATGTTACAAAGTGCTTTACAAGTAGCAGCAATAAATAAAGCCCTATACAAGATTAACATAAAAAATTCCACACATGAATTTAAAAATGGTGCAAAAATAAAACAAGCAAGCACAACATGAATTGAGCATAAATTAACAATGCTCTGACAACAGAAAGGTTTAAGAAGTGATTGAAATCCTTTTCAAACCATTGACTACTGGACAGCATTGATGCAGGGTGCTGAGGTCAGCATACAGCATGAGGGTAAAATGATAAGAGATGGAGCTGGAAAACAGATCAAGCCTCCAAAGTATTCAGTGAAATTTTAATTTCATCTTCACACAGACATTCAGAGTACAGTCAAAATCAAAGGAAGCTTCAACATAAGTCCATTAGAATAATTTTCTAGTACACTCTATTTGCCTTTGTTGATTTGTTCTCTAAGGTGTAAAGAGGTAGGACACCCAAACAAATTGAGAGTCATATTCGTGTGTTAAGCAAAATAATTAATGGTACTGCACCACTGAGCCCATAATTAGACCAGCATCAGCCAGAATTTCGGGCTGGGGTGGACTTTATTTACACCCGTGGCATATCAGTTATATGTGATTTTTTTTAACTTTAAGGCAGAGGGAAACAATTCCAAAAAAGTATGTAGCACAAAAGTATATTTTTGGTTGGATTTTTTCAGTGTGCCAGGAAGAACATGTAATGAGATTCTAAGCCACAACTCAATTAAATATTACCATGCTAACATGCTTACAGGACACTGACTATTGAGTATTAGCAGGTATAATGTTTACCCTGTTCGCTGAGTCGGTTTAGTGTGCTAGCATGCTAACATTTGCTAATTGGCATTAAACACAAAGTGTAGCTGAGGTTAATGGGAATGTCATTAGTTTTGCAGGTGTTAAAGTACTAGACGAAATTACATTTTTACATGATGATAGCGCTAGATGAAAGGCAGAGGTGGCAGTAAGGCACAAGCAAGTCTCAAGTTACTGTGGTGATAATCAAGCAAATCAAGTGCCTGTAAGTCAAACAAGTCACAAGTAAAGTCATAAAATACTCTGATGATTTGATAATGCTATGGGAATATCACATATTTAAGTGAAACTTTCTCAAACATTGTCTGATAATTAATTGTTCATTTGTAGGCTATAAACTAAGTCTGGCTTCCTGACTCATTTCATTTCAGTTCAGTTCAGTTCAATTCAGTTTTATTTGTATTGCGCCAAATCACAGCAAATGTCATCTCAGGACACAAACAATCAATCAGAAACATAGAGCTTGAGAGCCAGGGCTACCTGCAGAAAGGTGCAGGGAGAGAGAGGACACACTGCGGGAGAGAGGAGACACAAAGTTAGTAATGTGTAATGGTGGCATATAGATGCACAGAGAGAGAGGAGAGGAGCTCAGAGCATCATGGGGCCCCCCAGCAGCCTAGGCCTATAGCAGCATAACTAAGGGAGGGCTCAGGGTCACCTGATCCAGCCCTAACTATAAGCTTTATCAAAAAGGAACGTCTTAAGTCTAATCTTAAAGGTAGAGAGGGTGTCCGCCTCCCGAACTGAGACTGGGAGTTGGTTCCATAGGAGAGGAGCTTGATAGCTAAAGGCTCTGCCTCCCATTCTGCTTCTGTGGACTCTAGGAACCACAAGTAAACCTGCACTCTGAGAGCAAAGTGCTCTGTTAGGATGATAAGGCTCTATGAGGTCTTTAAGATACGATGGAGCCTTGTCAATAAGGGCTTTGTATGTTAGGAGAAGGATTTTAAATTCTATGCTGAATGTTACAGGGAGCCAGTGGAGAGAAGCTAATATGGGAGAAATATGATCTCTCTTGCTAGTTCCTGTCAGTACTCTGGCTGCAGCATTTTGGATTAACTGGAGGCTTTTTAGGGAATTATTGGGACATCCTGATAGTAAAGAGTTACAGTAGTCCAGCCTGGAAGTAACAAATGCATGGACCAGTTTTTCAGCATCACTTTGAGACAGGATGCTCCTGATTTTTGCAATATTGCGCAGGTGAAAGAAGGCAGATCTAGAGACTTGGTTTATGTGTGATTTAAAGGACATATTCTGATCAAAGATGACTCCAAGGTTCCTCACAGTAGTACTGGAGGCAAGAGCTATGTCATCTAAAGTAACTATATGATTAGACAGCAGATTTCTAAGGTTTTCAGGCCCAAGCACAATAACTTTTTTGTTGGGGTATAGAAGTAAGAAATTACAGGTCATCCAAACCTTTGTGTTTGGGGAGGCCTGTTTGGTATAGTATTATCCACAGGTGATTCTTGATTAATCCTTCTTCTTCAAACTTGGGGGCAGGGACTCTCTCAAAATATTGGTGTGCTTGATTGTCTTACTACCAAGAGAGTACCGACCAGATGGTGAGTTTGAGAAGCTTGAAATCTCAGCACCTGGCAAAGTATTTGTCGAGTCAATCAACAACTTTGCCAACAACTCCCTGCATATACATTATGATCATTTTGTGCTAAGGGGGCGATAGAAATCTTATTTATTCAAGAAATTGCCTTAAGTTATAGTCACCACCCACTCTATTTCCCACTGGACACAAAGCAAATGCATGTACTGTACAGTAAATGTGCTACATCTTGTTCTATGAAGTTTTTGTCTGAGATAGAAGGACTTTTACTTTTTTTTTGGACCATCAGCTTCAGGTGTAGTGACTTTGTTGAATGCTTTTCAATAGAGGAATAAAACATTCCAGTGCTCTACTGCACTTACCCTTCATTTTCAAAGACAAAGACTGAAGAAATTGTGAAGAATTTTGAAATTTATGAAGCATCATATTTGGTGCTTGAGTGTGTATTGATGCTTTATGAAGACAGTCTTGCTGCTACAGTATTTGTACTCCTGTTGTTCTTTCACCAGTACACCAAATAGCAATGTGTTGGGCGCCATTCAGGGCTCCACAGACTGAGCCAATTTGTATAAGCATATGTAGTTCCTAACACTTGAAAACTTTTGAAGGATTTTTTTATGTTTATTTTTTATGCATGAGTGTGTTAATGTGAAATGGATGCTTTAAGGAGATAAACTGTCAGCATCTTCATTTAGGTGCCTCAGGCAAGCAGAGGAAGAGCAATTTCACTTGATTTGTTAGTTGTGAAGTTTACTATCTTGCAGATGTGAGGAAATGAGACCTGAGGTAATCATAAGCAGTGTTAGCTTACCAGCATGACGGTGGCAGATGGTTGATGGTTGGATGGATGAATGACATTTGTTTGTGTTTCCTCTTGCAGTCTACACTAAAAGGAGCTAATGTGACAGTGTTTGGCTGCCTGAACCACGGGATGCCTCTTTTCTTAAGGGAAAACTCTTCTCTGAAATGTGAATCTGGTATGTCTAATTTAACTTTGACCAGAAAAGTAATTAATGTCATAAGACTGTATTTATGTTTGATCAACAAAAACACTTCTCCACCTTTTCTATCTACAAAAACTCTGACTCTTCATACAAAATGTACAACAGTTTTGCTTAAACATCAGTCAATATCTTTCAGTTTAATCTCATTAACTGGTGCTAATTTCTTTCCCAACTTCTACTTAAACTGACACTTCAAGCTCAGTTTATCATCTACACAAGGCTGAAAATTTTCTTTCCTTTCAGTGATTAAACAAAACCTTTTCCTTTCAAGTTCATCTGAGTTGATACTTCAGCTTCATCTTAGTGCTTACACTTAAATTGACACTTCAACTTCATTCTGCTCGTCACTCAGCTATTTCAGCTTCGGTATTTGTGTTTCAACTATTTCAAATGTTTTAATTGCAAAATGTCAGAAGAAAGCAGACATAAATTCTTTTCAGATAATGTGGCCTTTTTCTGCTTTTTCAGGTTTAAAAAGTAAGTGTAGAGTAAAGTTCTTTGAGTTTTAAAGTCTCTCTCAGTGATCTATCACTTCTGTTGCAGAATCTGTAGCTGGGTTTTTCCTTTCTCTAAACGCTTCAGCTAATATCACCAAACTGAGGATTCCTTACCCACAGACAGGCACCTGGTACCTCAGTCTGCGCACTCTGTGTGCCACTGGACATGGGTAAGATGGCGATAGTGCTTGTGTATAGTCATTTGTTTATTCTCTGTGCTTACACATTGCTGTTGCTGGAGGACTGTACTCTACCATTTTTGGAATTATTCATGAGAAGGAACTGCAGGCAAAAAAATGGAATTTGATGCTTTGCAAAATATGCTTAAATTGCTTTCTTGTAGCATTTTAAAAGATCGATATAACCATCACTGCTGTATGGTAAATATGAAGCTACTTTGGCAGCCTTAGCTTAGCTTGCATAGCTTGGCATAAAGACTGGAAACAGGGAGACACTTTTACTGTTCTGCAGCCTATTCCTTTTAAATAACAATTTTGTTACTTGTATGCACTGGAATAGTCAACCCAAATGTCTTCAGAACACCATTTTCAAGCAGAAATCACTGAAACCAGTTGACGGACTGTTGCTCATAAATTTTTGACTGTCTCATAATCAGGTCTGTGGCTTGGTCTCTGTGCCCCACAGCATCCTCTGTGAGACAATATTTGCTGTCAATTACAGGAAGACAATTGCAAAAGAGAACATCCAATATTTCTTAAAAACTCATCTTCCTACAATAATCACTAGTTTGTTTACCAAAATTAATAATTCAGTGCTCTAATAAAGACACCATGCTTGCTGTTTAAACAGTGCAACCTTCCTCATTCAGCCATCTGTCACCCAGAAGATTAATTTCAGATTGGTTTTTAATGTGCCTCTGGTGCACACCTCTCATATGACATGGAAGAGGGTTAGATTCCAAAGTTTAAAAGGCAGATTTTTTGGATTATCACCTTTCTATATTAGCAAATTTTAACAAAATTATTGAAATGTATGTTTTATGAAATGGGAAACAAGCATATTGAAAATATACACATAAAAGAAAAGATTTTTAAATGGGCATATTCTTATCTTGTCTAGAAATTATCTTGTAATGTTTATTGTTCTCTCTACCATCCGGTACAATTTGATGATTGCAGTGAGTGCCCACAATTTCTCTGACAGCTGTGTAGAGTCTGTGTGAAAAATGTCAGAAAGAGAAGTTGTCCAAGGCAATGTTTTCCACGAGTTCTCAACTATTAGCTATTTAGCAGATTGAGCTGTTTTTCCGAACTCTTAATGGCCCAAAATTGTGAACAGAATTACATTAAGCAGATTTTTCCCAGGCCACTTAGGAGTTCCAACTGAATTTGAATAACAGATAATAACAGATGGTGTGGGACATGGGCTCATCCTCACACTGCTGCAGCATTGCTGAGGAATGGAAATGTGGAAAATGTTCACATAGCTATGTTTTAGATTTCCACACACGCTAAATAAGTCACATCTTGTTATAGAAGAGATGAGGTAGTGTGAACGACAGGTGCTCTTCAAGACTACAATCAAGTTGATTGATCTAACTTCAAAATAAATGAGGGAGCAGATGTATCAATTATAAATAGGTTCTAGGAAAAGGCAAAGCATCACATTTATTACCTCCTGGTGTCTGTGATTGATCGTAGCTGGCAGTTAGAGAATATACGATGTAAGCACACACATACAAGGTTTTTCTTTTATCCCGCATTGTGTCAGAGATAAGCAAATTAAATATAGGTCCACAGAGCATTTTCTGGGCTACAGTTAAATACATAACAATCACAAGCTGCAATAGATCATGCTGTGATTTCTGTATGACACAACACACAAGAAGTCAAAAATTGAGTTGTCATCTCTTTCTGAATTTTGGAAGAGAATTATGGACAATTCCACACGGGGTTCCTAACCGAGATACATAATGAAGGCTAGAGTATCACAGTAGAACTCTAGATTCCCTGTTGGTCTATAAAGCACTGGCATCATTTGTGGAAAATTACTTTTGTAATTGCTGTATGAGTTTGGAAATCACATAAGCCTAAAAGAGTAAAGTTGTCAACCCCAAAACTACCTTTTAATCGCCAAGGAGTCGAAGTGATGATAGTGCTAAAGAACATAGAACGACAAGACTATGAGGTATAATGGCTATACTGTACCTCACAGACAGTACATTTTAATTTAGCATATTAGAAATATTTGGTAATTACAAATAAACACAAACTAAGTTCTGAGGCTGATGTGATTAGTTTTGTCATATTTGGCCATAAACCGATGTTTTGTAGGAAGGGTGCGTGTGTTCAATAGTTACAAGACACTATGAGGATGACATTACATATGTCATCCTCATAGTGGCAATTGAGGAAAAATTGGGGGATCACCAAAGCCAGTAGGATTCAGCCTCTGGGAACTACTGTATATACTGTTAAGTCTGTAGAAAATTTCATGGCAATCCAGCATACTGAGGTATTTCAATTTGGACCAAAGTGGTGGACTAAATGGCATTGCTATCTCTAGTTCCATGTCTCTAGTATGGCTAAAAATAACTAACCACAAACAAGTCCCTCTTGACTGCAGAATATGCAAGTTGAAGTCCATTTTAATGGTGAAACAGGACCATATTTCTGCCTTCACAATGTGAAAAGAGAAAAAGTACAGAATTCCCCACAGGTGCTGCTACTGGTTATGTCCCTCATTCTCACTTCCATGTGATGCTCTGTGATGTCTGTCTGTGACTTTTCCAGATTTGAGGCGTGCACTAATGTCACCACCGAGGTGTATATGCGCTCCTATCTGACTCCTTGCATTAATGACTGTGGGACATATGGACAGTGCAAGCTTCTGCGCACAAACAACTACCTTTACGCTGCGTGTGAATGCAAAGCAGGTAACAATTTACGTTGCATTGTCAGTGTACTTTTCAGGCTCACGCCTTCCTGTTGGTTTGCTGATTTGAATTTGTGCACAAAGGGAATGTGACCCAAATTCGGATTACTGTAGATGGTCTATTTATGTCTTCTTTCTAATTCATTTTAATGTCCACTTTATTTTGAAATTGCATTCATATTCATTACTAATAAAACAAACCAAGTTGTTTAATAGATTTGCAGAAATAATTGTATAAATAATTTTATACTCAACTGTGCCTATAATTATTAATTGGTAATTCATAATTAGCAAAAAGCATGACCATGAATATAAAATGTGCTGTGAATTACTGTACCTTAATGGGGGGGCAACACCTTTATTTTCATACAAGATAAGATATATGAAGTTGGGTTATCACTGCTGCAAAGAATGTCTGATTTGTTGGAAAATACATCATGCAGAGTGACAGTTAAATGGGAGAGAGCAAGGTAGAATTGCACAGGTCATTTTCCAGATCTGAACTGACAATACGACAATTAAACTGTATGTGCTGCTCTCCAATGAGTCGTAAAGTAGCCTGGTATTAATCTAATAATATAAGCCATTTTGATAAGACAATAAAACACGCTCTTAATTACAAACAGCTTTTCAATAAAAGATCTTATGAAATGAGACCTTATGAAAGCTTATGAAACTAAACAAAGAATGTCCTCTGAGGCTTTTTTAAATCCTGCCTTTGATCTTCCTTTATCAGAGCTGGTTTCTCTTCAGCTAAATTCATTGTTATACTTCATATGTGCGACTGCTTTCTCAGAAACAACTTTCCTGGCACGCACTTTGGATTCAGCGTTTGCCCTTAGCCCGTCTCAGACTAGAAAGCCTTCGTTCAACAGTGCTCACGAATATTTAATACACACTGTCTTATCCGATACACCACTTGATGAGCATCCAATCCAAGTGGCGAAGCGGGGGTGTTTTAACATACTCTGCAACAACTCTATTGCGCAGGATAAACAACTTCACACGTATCTGTTTTTGGATTATTTTTTTACAGAGAAGTGGTGCATAAGAAAAAGGCTGATGAGGCATTTATCTTGTCAAGAGATATATATTTTAGGCATTTTAAAATATACTGTAAACCCTAAAGGCATGAGCTTTTGAAACAAACTGATTCATCTACAGTAGAGTTTCTTCTCATACCCTCAGCCAAACAATTTAAGAAGATTTTCCTAAAATGTATGTAGAGTTTAAGGGAGACGGAAACTGCTTTGACATCTTTTTTTTTAAACCTCTAAAGCCTGCAAACACAAACACATTCAACTCTCTTAGATCTTTGTTTTCTTAGAGCAAAATACGGTACTGATTGTGTGTGTGTGTGTGTGTGTGTGTGTGTGTGTGTTAGGCTGGGATGGCTGGGGATGCACAGACAATTCAGAGGCCTACTCCTATAGTTTCCAGCTCCTGTCCACCCTGCTGCTGTGCCTCAGCAACCTGATGTTTGTCCCGCCTGTGGCCATCGCCATTCGAAGCCACTACCTGCTTGAAGCTTCAGTCTACATCTTCACCATGTTCTTCTCCACTGTGAGTGACAGCCACAACAACACAGTGGTGCAGGTTCTACAATGTGCAAAAAGAGCTGACCTATAAAACATTTCGGGGGGTGGAAAACTAGCACAAATAAATGGAAAGTCGCATTACCTGCAGCTGCTGTTTATCATGAAAGATGATAGAAACAAAGTCACTAACTGTGATAGAAAGAAACATGTCCATCATGATCATCTCAGCAAGTTGCCAAGTTAATGATATTTTTTGCCGTGCTATGGAACAGTGTTTTCACAAGTGGAAGGACGCACATGAACATACAGTATGTAAATGACATGCAACGCAGTACACTGGGATCATACTATTCCACTGATCAACCAATATTCACGGTAGTTCACAATGATGCCTAGCAATCCAACAAAGGCAAGGATGAAGAAGAATAGAAGCTAGCAAACACTGAACAAGTAAATCATTAAAAAACTGACTAAATGTTTAGTCAGGAAACATATCCACTTAACACAGTTGTTAGCCTGCACTGAGACTGACATGGACCCTGAAAGAAAAAGTGGTGTCTGTTGGTTCTGCGGGGGTGAAAACACAGGGGAGTTGGCAAAATAACACAGGCAAAAAAGTTGGCTCAGCTTCTTCTGCAACACAGCGTCAGCTGGCAAGGTGCTGCCATGAGCAATCAATGAACACTGAGCATACAGTGCTATTTCTTCTGTTTACCTGATGATCTTCATGAAAGATAAAACAGTTGCTGCACACCACACCACACCACACCACACCAGAATTTGTTTTCATTTTGTCTGAAATATTTGGATAGACCACATTCAGCTTGTCAAACAATAATTTGTAAGTTAAATATTTATGGGTACTTAGCTATTTATCATACACCTATTTACTGTAGTATAAAAGAATGTATTTTTATCGTAACAAATAAGTCTTAAATTTAATGAACACATTGAGGTGGTAGCTATGCAATTTTTTTCCTGTGCCATCTGTTTGTTGGTCTAACCACTGTCTTTCCTTACAGTTCTACCATGCTTGTGACCAGCCAGGTATTGTTGTCTTTTGCATCATGGAGTATGATGTCCTGCAGTTCTGTGACTTCCTCGGGTCACTCATGTCAGTGTGGGTCACTGTGATTGCGATGGCCAGGCTAAAGTCGATCATCAAACAGGTAAAATCCTACTGTTTCTGTAACTACCTGCATCTGTAGTTTGTCAAAAACCTGATAATCAAACTAAATAGCCATTTTGCTGCCACATTAATAAAATGTGTTTTCAGTGGGGAAAGGCATTCAAATAGTTAAAGTCATCATAAAGTATAGGACTTGAAAGCTATCAGATGTTAACATGTAAGTTGTTAAAATCAACATTTCCCAGTCCATTGATATGCAAGACCTAAAATAAACAAACCATCTGCTTAATAATGGATGCACTCAAAATTTGGCTGTCACACTGCTGATTTGTGCTCTTATTGCTATATACAAAACAGTACACGCCACCTGTGCCAACCTGAACCGATGGCACTGTATGTGAAGAAAATCCATGTTTACCAACAGCATCATTAACAACAGATGCTAATAAATGCATATTATACATACTGCAGCTTATTGTGGCTAAATCTGACAGGAAAAACTACTTTAGTGCCAACACTCCAAAGCTGTGAAAAGATTAGATCAGATGTAGACATGTAAAGATTAGACGTGGGTAGTGATTCAACCAGACATCGTCTGACCACCATGTCAGTGGTTGACAACTTGAGATAAGCCCTGAAACCAGGAGGGATTAGAGGACTGAGAAGGAGAGAGCTGTACAGCTATGTAAGAGGGCCCTAAATAAGTACTGCATATGTCTCAATTATTCGCTATATATTAAACGATCAGTATGTTAGAATAAGTGATGCATGGTGATAAATTCTCTGTTTGGTGACATATTGCGGTGGATACCAGTAAACACTAACAGGTGCACCTTCTCCCTGGGTCACTCCTTGGCTGCACACCAAGATGGAGCAGTCTCTGGGAACGAGAGTGTGTATGTGTAAATCTGTGTGTGTCCATTACTGAGACAGGGGGTGGGGGGGCTATGAACATCTGCTGTACTCTAGAGTTTTCAGTTTTGCTGAGCACTGCAGTACACAGTCACTAATCAAATCACACATGTCAGGACAGGCAAGTGGAACTGTGTGTCTGAGAGAGTGACAGTGTTTGTTTGTTTATTTGTGTATGTCCATCCATCCATTATCTATACCACCTATTCTGAGGGTGAGGGTCAGATCCAATCCCAGCCAACGCTGGGAGAGAGGCGGGGTACACCTTGGTTAGGTTGCAAACTCCCCACAGAAAGGCCCCTTTTTATGTATGTGTGTGTTTGTTTGTTTAAGCCCATGACCACACTCCCAGTAGTACAGGGAATTTGTATGTGACTTCTGGACCTTGAAAGGTCTATAAGTCCTCACAAATATATCAGCTGAATATCTTGCGAGGGCAGTTTGCTGGTTCACATGAAGAACAAGATTTAGGAGATCTTTTAGTTTCAATTTGCTGAAGGTTAATACATGACCCAGCTTAATAGGTAGTTATGTTTTATTACAACTTGGGTCTCTTAGTTCTGGACCTCTGGTACAGAGAAGCTATGAGAGCATTGTTCTCACCAGAGAAACTGCTGAGATCAGGGTACAATAGGACATGAAACATGAGAATTCAGATGATCAGAAACATTTAGCCAGATGATTTTAACCTCTTTTTTTGATGGTTGAACTAAAAGTGAACACACCAGAAGTGTCTGTTGAATAGAAAAACTGAATTTTCATTTGCATTTGATTTCTCTTTCAAAAAGGTTTGCTTCCCTTGGGGGATTTTAAAACCTGACTGATTGTCTGAGTGCTTGTGTTTCTTTACCCTGTCAAACTTCTTTTTAGTGACTTTCACAGATTTTAGCAATTAACTTGGTGAGCACGATCACTGACAGGAGTGATGGCTGCACCTACGAAAATCAAACTTAAATTGTAATAAAAACCGTAACTTATCCTTTCAAGTCTGTGAAATATATATATTTACAGTAAGTAAAGAAATTGCATTCATTTACTTATTTTACTAAATGTACTATATGAGTAACATTTTCAAAATGTACTATTCTGAGAGATTGTAGACCTTTGTACTTCGATGATCTTCATCATATATTGCTTTCACATTTTAAGAATGAACATCCATGCCCAAACGGTTTAAAAATTCCATTGACTTTTAATCTTTTAGTTCAGTATGTTCAGTTTATCGAGGCACTGTTAAAAGGCATGTTGTAATCCACAGTACCAATGCACAGTAAAAATCTATACTACACATTGGTAAGCATGAAAATGTATGCTGCGGGTAAAAATAGAGTTGCTGCCAGAATTCCTACAATCCCGTCTGTCAAAATGGCATGTAATGATTAATTACAGTGAAATCCTGCTTGTGAGCGTCCATGCATTCATGCCTGCATACAATACATGCACACAGGCATGTCTGGGCACTACTGTATGATTCAGTGGTGCAGTAAGACTGATGACTGTTGCTGCACAGAGTCCTTGTGCTGCACCACATGGCTCCTCTCCTCCTCGATCTGTGCCAATTAGTCCTGTTCTCCTATGGACGGTTCATCC